GGAGATAAACAGTCGATCTCCGGATTCAGTCAGTTGCCCGTGATCTACTTTTGGGCAACTAGTTGTCCTCAGATCCAGAGATATCACCGATGTGCTCCAACAACATGTGTGTATAGCGCCCTCTACAGTTTATGTCAGAAAACACACTGTAGTTGAGGCCACACGCGTTGTTATTCCCCAGACTGGTCTGATACAGGAGTTACCTGTTATTCTCCAGACTGGTCTGATACAGGAGTTACCTGTTATTCTCCAGACTGGTCTGATACAGGAGTTACCTGTTATTCCCCAGACTGGTCTGATACAGGAGTTACCTGTTATTCCCCAGACTGGTCTGATACAGGAGTTACCTGTTATTCCCCAGACTGGTCTGATACAGGAGTTACCTGTTATTCTCCAGACTGGTCTGATATAGGAGTTACCTGTTATTCTCCAGACTGGTCTGATACAGGAGTTACCTGTTATTCCCCAGACTGGTCTGATACAGGAGTTACCTGTTATTCCCCAGACTGGTCTGATACAGGAGTTACCTGTTATTCTCCAGACTGGTCTGATACAGGAGTTACCTGTTATTCTCCAGACTGGTCTGATACAGGAGTTACCTGTTATTCCCCAGACTGGTCTGATACAGGAGTTACCTGTTATTCTCCAGACTGGTCTGATACAGGAGTTACCTGTTATTCCCCAGACTGGTCTGATACAGGAGTTACCTGTTATTCTCCAGACTGGTCTGATACAGGAGTTACCTGTTATTCTCCAGACTGGTCTGATACAGGAGTTACCTGTTATTCTCCAGACTGGTCTGATACAGGAGTTACCTGTTATTCTCCAGACTGGTCTGATACAGGAGTTACCTGTTATTCCCCAGACTGGTCTGATACAGGAGTTACCTGTTATTCTCCAGACTGGTCTGATACAGGAGTTACCTGTTATTCTCCAGACTGGTCTGATACAGGAGTTACCTGTTATTCTCCAGACTGGTCTGATACAGGAGTTACCTGTTATTCTCCAGACTGGTCTGATATAGGAGTTACCTGTTATTCCCCAGATTGTCGATGTGTGCGGAGCAGAAACTCATATGCCACGGATATAATCAGTTGCCAGTCCGATGTACGCTTGGCATTAAAGTTCAGTTCGGTTCAGTTCAAATTGTTTATTTGAGCTCAGAGCAAAACAGGAAGTAATGTGAGAATAAAACAACAACAAAAAAGTAAATGTTTGTATTAGTAAGTAATGTTTATTTATATAGCACATGTTACAGACCAAGGTACAGACCCAAAGCACTTTCCAAAGTTCAGAGTCAGATATTGTTCCAATCCTTCCACACACGGTGATGACAGAAGCGAGTCCAGAACACACTGGACCATCAAAGCCTCCGACCAAACACCCTCCCTTCACTCATTTACATTGTTTTAGTGGTAGGGGAAAGTTACACAGACACCGGGAGAACATGCAAACTCTACTCAGAAAGGCTCTGTCCCGACCAGGATTCAAACCCAGGACTTTCTTACTGAGAAGTGAGAGGGCTAACCACTCAGCCACCGTGCCATATGTGTCAGTGTTATATACATCTTTAAAGGAGTTCGCAGAAGAGAAAAATACGTATAAACCTCTTCCCTTCAACTGCTTTGAGACAGTTTAGTGCAGGGCTCTCCAACCTGTAGCTCTCCACCCCCTTCCAGGTAGCTCACCAAAGGGTTTAGAACTGAACATATCACATAATAATGATATTTTGGAATGTATTATTACTGTTGGTTCTTAGTGCATAAATACTGAATATGTGATGATACATAATTGATCAGTCACTCTCAGGCTGTTCCCAGGGAGCTTACAGGAGTAGCTCTCTGTCTTTATTCTCCTGGGAAAGTAGCTCTCTGTCTTTATTCTCCTGGGAAAGTAGCTCTCTGTCTTTATTCTCCTGGGAAAGTAGCTCTCTGTCTTTATTCTCCTGGGAAAGTAGCTCTCCGGGTGAAAAGGTCGGGGACACCTGGTTCAGTGGTGTTTGTGGAGAGATAACTGTCATTTCACCCAAACCTCAGCTACGAGAGAGAATATGCAAAAATATGAACAGATTTATTTACACATGATGGCAGTAAATAAGTATTTAGTCACGTCCAGAGAAGCAGGACTGACTCTCACAGACCTGGAACTCTCTGTCCTGGGATCAGAAGGCAAGGCCAGGTTATTTGTATGGCACGATTCATACACAAGGCAAGTGTAGAACAAAACAAGATGGAGACATAAAATCATAAATAATCAGTTTGTAAAATCCCTCCGTTGTATAAACTGAGATAACATTAAGACAACTTCTAACTTAAAACGGTCGACGCTTTTGGTTCTAGACTCCGTCGCTTTAACGTCCTGTGTTTCCAGGAGACTGATGTCGGGGTCCAGTGGGTTTGGTTCATTTCATTTGCACGAAACCTTCAAATGTGTCTTAAATGTGTGCGACAGGTGTCGATGAATGTTATGTAATGATGACATCACACTGAGAAGATGAAGTGAAGACCCAGGCATGACCTCAGGGAAGACCCAGGCATGACCTCAGGGAAGACCCAGGCATGACCTCTGGGAAGACCCAGGCATGACCTCAGGGAAGACCCAGGCATGACCTCAGGGAAGACCCAGGCATGACCTCAGGGAAGACCCAGGCATGACCTCAGGGAAGACCCAGGCATGACCTCAGGGAAGACCCAGGCATGACCTCAGGGAAGACCCAGGCATGACCTCTGGGAAGACCCAGGCATGACCTCTGGGAAGACCCAGGCATGACCTCGGAAGACCCAGGGACCTCTGGAAGACCCAGGCATGACCTCTGGGAAGGGCAGACCTCTGGGAAGACCCAGGCATGACCTCTGGAAGACCCAGGCATGACCTCTGGGAAGACCCAGGCATGACCTCTGGGAAGACCCAGGCATGACCTGGAAGACCCAGGCATGACCTTGGAAGACCCAGGCATGACCTCTGGAAGACCCAATGACCTGGAGACCCAGGCATGATGACCCAGCATGACCTCTGGGAAGACCCAGGCATGACCTCTGGGAAGACCCAGGCATGACCTCAGGGAAGACCCAGGCATGACCTCAGGGAAGACCCAGGCATGACCTGACCCCATCAGGGAAGACCCAGGCATGACCCAGGGAAGACCAGGCATGACCTCGGGAAGACCCAGGCATGACCTCAGGGAAGACCCAGGATACCCAGGCATGACCTCAGGGAAGACCAGGCATGACCTCAGGAAGACCCAGGCATGACCTCAGGGAAGACCCAGGCATGACCTCAGGGAAGACCCAGGCATGACCTCAGGGAAGACCCAGGCATGACCTCAGGGAAGACCCAGGCATGACCTCAGGGAAGACCCAGGCATGACCTCTGGGAAGACCCAGGCATGACCTCTGGGAAGACCCAGGCATGACCTCTGGGAAGACCCAGGCATGACCTCTGGGAAGACCCAGGCATGCTCCGGGGACACACAACAACAACAAAAGAAAATGGAATGGAAAAAAAGAAAAATTAGCCCAGTATACTACAAAGAGTGTGATGTCATCATGGCTTCAACAGCAGCACACACACACATACACACATGCACACGCACAAACAGAAACACGCACAGAAACACGCACACACACAGAAACACGCACACACACACAAACAGAAACACGCACACAAACACAAACAGAAACACGCACACACACACATACACACACGCACACGCACAAACAGAAACACGCACAAACAGAAACACGCACAGAAACACGCACACACAGAAACACGCACACACACACACACACACAAACAGAAACACGCACACACACGCACACGCACAAACAGAAACACACACACACAAACAGAAACACGCACACACACACACACACACACACACAAACAGAAACACGCACACAAACACAAACAGAAACACGCACACACACGCACACGCACAAACAGAAACACGCACACAAACAGAAACACGCACACAAACAGAAACACGCACACAAACAGAAACACGCACACAAACACAAACAGAAACACGCACACAAACAGAAACACGCACACGCACTAACCATGTTTTCCTTGTCGCAGATCTGTCGTACATCACGACTTGGCCTTTTCTGTGGAAGGTGTCGGCCATTACTCTGGTCAGCTGCCTCCCTCTCTACATCATCAAGTATCTCAAACGCAAATTCTCTCCTCCCAGTTACTCCAAGCTCTCCAACTGACCTCCGCCAACAGGCTCCTGCTGACCCTGACCCTGACCCTGACCCTGACCCTAACCCTGACCCTGCGCTCCACCTCCACATTCTCAGCACTTTTTGGAGATGTACTTAAAATGAACCCGTGGCAGCAGCAGCAGAGCGACGTGGAAACGGAATTTTGGAAGAAGTCGTTTGAAATGCCCTGAAAAGACGTTAGCACAGACTCTATGCCTTGTTCAGTTTAGCATTTACAGCAATTTTTATACTTTTCAACTTTTTATATTTGCATTTTTACGCGTTCATTTCTAAAAACACAACGCGACACATTTTTTTTTTTTTTTTTTTTTACAGTTGCGTAGAAGCACTCAACGGACAAAAGACTATTTATTTTGTCCATGAAGCCATTTTGAACCTGAATTTCTGCTTAACCTCTCAGACCTGGACCATAGGGATTAACCAAAAATAAAACCACTTTGATATTGAAGTCGTGACGCCGTCAGACTGCGTTTGAACCGACGACGGTCTGTTCTGGAATCTGCTGCTTAAACTTTTGTTGTTTTTAGCCTTTAGCTCGATGCTGCTTTCAAGGACACGTTAGGAAAGCACGTAAAAAGTATGTTGCTGCCGGCAAAATGGGGGATTATTGAGAGCCTCTTTTATCGATTCAAACATTTGCACATTTGTTTTTGTGTTGTAAATTGAAATGCAATGCTACTTAGATAGCACACACCAGCCTGCCCATATATGGTCATACTCAATGTCATAGGAAGTTCAGCACAAACCAGGCTCCTGGAAAATCTTGGTATTTTGTTAATCTGCAATCTCAACCCTAATCTCAGACCTAATCTCAGCCCTAATCTCAGCCCTAATCTCAGCTCTAATCTCAACCCTAATCTCAGACCTAATCTCGGCTCTAATCTGAGCTCTAATCTCAGCTCTAATCTCAACCCTAATCTCAACCCTAATCTCAGCCCTAATCTCAGCCCTGATCTCAGCCCTAATCTCAGCCCTGATCTCAGCCCTGATCTCAGCCCTAATCTCAGCCCTAATCTCAGCCCTAATCTCAGCCCTAATCTCAGCCCTAATCTCAGCCCTAATCTCAGCCCTAATCTCAGCCCTAATCTCAGCCCTAATCTCAGCCCTGATCTCAGCCCTGATCTCAGCCCTGATCTCAGCCCTGATCTCAGCCCTGATCTCAGCCCTAATCTCAGCCCTAATCTCAGCCCTAATCTCAGCCCTAATCTCAGCCCTAATCTCAGCCCTAATCTCAGCCCTAATCTCAGCCCTAATCTCAGCCCTAATCTCAGCCCTAATCTCAGCCCTAATCTCAGCCCTAATCTCAGCCCTAATCTCAGCTCTAATCTCAGCTCTAATCTCAGCTCTAATCTCAGATCTAATCTCAGCTCTAATCTCAGATCTAATCTCAGCTCTAATCTCAGATCTAATCTCAGCCCTAATCTCAGCTCTAATCTTAGCCCTAATCTCAACCCGACAGTGAGTCTTAATTTCACATTTGAATAATGAATGAAAGAAGTGAATATTTATCTCGATTTGGGACGAAATACCAAGATTTTAGTGAGTCCCTAACGACAGAGGCCACAGATTAAAGGGGACATCACGTGAACATGAAACATAACCTTCTAACAGGTTTTTACCATGTTTTGGTTATTTTCCCTCGTCATTTTCAAACTCCATCTATGAACGTTTAAAGCTACAGTACCTAACTTTGGAACCATAACAAGAAAATAACAGTAATATTACATTTGACAATAGAAGCCTCTGGTCCAATCACTGAAGACCGTCGCACAATAAGTCACAATCATTGGGTCTGTGTGAAATGTTTATTATTATTGTTATGATTATTATTATTATTATTTTACTTACAGGGTTTATAATATCTACCTGCAAAATGACCTCTGTTGCTTCTGAATGTTCGGCTTTTTGCTTGTCGCCGTTGGAAGCCACACGAGAGAAGCACTCGTAGAGCACAAACCTCCGCCAAGAGGCACAGTTCAATTCCGTGAAATAATCCTCTCATAACTTGACGCGTGATTGGACGAACAGACAATCCCAGGTGAAAACATAACTTCCTGGTAACTTCTTTATGGCACAAGCAGGAAGTGGATTGTGTCAGAAAAGTATTGATTACATGTTTTTTCTCCATTTCTGGCGTTTCTCATGTGTTATTCCACAAAAACAGCTGTTTTCAGTGACCACAAAATGTCCCAATTTTGGTTGTTTTGACCCAGATCGAAGTCGCCACATACACTCCAAAAAATACAATATTTCTGAACACGAGAACTCCCAGAGCAGTCTGTTTCTTCAGCGTATTTTTGTTTTCTTTCTTAATAACTTTGACTTTTTATTTTTGTGTGAAATTATCTTTGTGAGGAGTTTTCTGATTCAGGATGTTCTCATTTATCCTTTCACCAAACTGTTGCTGTATCACTGTTGTATTCATTCGTTTATTTTACGGGTTATAAAATACTTTCGGGATTTGGGGGAATTTCTCCAAATTCTATGGTTTCTCTTTAGTGGGAGGAGTCAAAACGACGGCTCTGGGAGTTCATGTAGTATCTGTTCTGTTCACTGTATTTTTGTCCATCCCTAAATCACAACAACACTCGTCTCGACTTCACAAAGTTTTCGATTCAACAACAACAGGTCAGAGAATACACAGTTCAAACACGGGAAATGCAATAATCATAATGGTCCCTAGGGGGCAGAAGACCAATGTCCATAAATGTTAAAACAATTCAACAGTCTGGTCCGACCGACTCCCAGAACTCAATCTCCGCAGCGTTTTTAAGATTGTTTTTCTTATATTTTGACAAAACATGATTTCTGTTCCTCACATTCATAACATTTTTCTTATTTCTCATGAAGAACAATCAAACTTCACCTCCGCCTCTGACAAAATGAACAGAAAGTGTTTGTTGAAATGCATTTGAATGAGTTTTATCATTCTGAGAGGTTCCTTATGAAGTGAAGGATGTCTTTATACAAACTATTCAAAGGTGGCACTAAATGTAGCTGCACTGAAAAAGCCCAACGTTGGATGTAGTTTTTGTTCTTTGGGGATTTTCGGAGCTGATTTTTAAAAAGCCAATGTTAATGTTTTTCTTATTCATGTTGTTGTGTCTCTGGCGTTGTACAAACTTCTTTTCTGTTATTTATATGAATGATCATGAGAAATAAAAGGGGACGAGGAGAAGACTGGAGACCTGATATGTGCGTGTTTGTCCACGAGAGGGCGCCACAGGCTAAGAATACACGCTCATGACACTGAGGCAAAGCTTTGTCTGTAATTCATTTAGATTCTTACCTGTTTTTTTTGGCAATTTCTACTAAATATTTAAGTTTTATTTATATATTTAAGTCTATTAAGTAAATATAAATTAAATCCACCTTCATTTCTCTAATTTTTAAGATTTCTTTATCAGTAAAACTCACTTTTTTTTCTATTTAGAGATCGTTTACTGTATTAACCACATAAGGGAAAGTTGATTTGTATGGAACAGTTTAAAGGACTTAAATAAACAAGATCTAAACATTTGCACAAGGCTTTAAAATCATAATCACCGCATAAAGAGTGAAGATGTTTCAGTTGTTCAGTCTGCGCCACAGTCTGAATGAGAGGGTCTTCGCCTGCAGGGGGCGCCACAGTCTGAATGAGAGGGTCTTCGCCTGCAGGGGGCGCCACAGTCTGAATGAGAGGGTCTTCGCCTGCAGGGGGCGCCACAGTCTGAATGAGAGGGTCTTCGCCTGCAGGGGGCGCCACAGTCTGAATGAGAGGGTCTTCGCCTGCAGGGGGCGCCACAGTCTGAATGAGAGGGTCTTCGCCTGCAGGGGGCGCCACAGTCTGAATGAGAGGGTCTTCGCCTGCAGGGGGCGCCACAGTCTGAATGAGAGGGTCTTCGCCTGCAGGGGGCGCCACAGTCTGAATGAGAGGGTCTTCGCCTGCAGGGGGCGCCACAGTCTGAATGAGAGGGTCTTCGCCTGCAGGGGGCGCCACAGTCTGAATGAGAGGGTCTTCGCCTGCAGGGGGCGCCACAGTCTGAATGAGAGGGTCTTCGCCTGCAGGGGGCGCCACAGTCTGAATGAGAGGGTCTTCGCCTGCAGGGGGCGCCACAGTCTGAATGAGAGGGTCTTCGCCTGCAGGGGGCGCCACAGTCTGAATGAGAGGGTCTTCGCCTGCAGGGGGCGCCACAGTCTGAATGAGAGGGTCTTCGCCTGCAGGGGGCGCCACAGTCTGAATGAGAGGGTCTTCGCCTGCAGGGGGCGCCACAGTCTGAATGAGAGGGTCTTCGCCTGCAGGGGGCGCCACAGTCTGAATGAGAGGGTCTTCGCCTGCAGGGGGCGCCACAGTCTGAATGAGAGGGTCTTCGCCTGCAGGGGGCGCCACAGTCTGAATGAGAGGGTCTTCGCCTGCAGGGGGCGCCACAGTCTGAATGAGAGGGTCTTCGCCTGCAGGGGGCGCCACAGTCTGAATGAGAGGGTCTTCGCCTGCAGGGGGCGCCACAGTCTGAATGAGAGGGTCTTCGCCTGCAGGGGGCGCCACAGTCTGAATGAGAGGGTCTTCGCCTGCAGGGGGCGCCACAGTCTGAATGAGAGGGTCTTCGCCTGCAGGGGGCGCCACAGTCTGAATGAGAGGGTCTTCGCCTGCAGGGGGCGCCACAGTCTGAATGAGAGGGTCTTCGCCTGCAGGGGGCGCCACAGTCTGAATGAGAGGGTCTTCGCCTGCAGGGGGCGCCACAGTCTGAATGAGAGGGTCTTCGCCTGCAGGGGGCGCCACAGTCTGAATGAGAGGGTCTTCGCCTGCAGGGGGCGCCACAGTCTGAATGAGAGGGTCTTCGCCTGCAGGGGGCGCCACAGTCTGAATGAGAGGGTCTTCGCCTGCAGGGGGCGCCACAGTCTGAATGAGAGGGTCTTCGCCTGCAGGGGGCGCCACAGTCTGAATGAGAGGGTCTTCGCCTGCAGGGGGCGCCACAGTCTGAATGAGAGGGTCTTCGCCTGCAGGGGGCGCCACAGTCTGAATGAGAGGGTCTTCGCCTGCAGGGGGCGCCACAGTCTGAATGAGAGGGTCTTCGCCTGCAGGGGGCGCCACAGTCTGAATGAGAGGGTCTTCGCCTGCAGGGGGCGCCACAGTCTGAATGAGAGGGTCTTCCCTGCAGGGGGCGCCACAGTCTGAATGAGAGGGTCTTCGCCTGCAGGGGGCGCCACAGTCTGAATGAGAGGGTCTTCGCCTGCAGGGGGCGCCACAGTCTGAATGAGAGGGTCTTCGCCTGCAGGGGGCGCCACAGTCTGAATGGAGAGGATCTTCGCCTGCAGGGGGCGCCACAGTCTGAATGAGAGGGTCTTCACTGCAGGGGGCGCCACAGTCTGAATGAGAGGGTCTTCGCCTGCAGGGGGCGCCACAGTCTGAATGAGAGGGTCTTCGCCTGCAGGGGGCGCCACAGTCTGAATGAGAGGGTCTTCGCCTGCAGGGGGCGCCACAGTCTGAATGAGAGGATCTTCGCCTGCAGGGGGCGCCACAGTCTGAATGAGAGGGTCTTCGCCTGCAGGGGGCGCCACAGTCTGAATGAGAGGATCTTCGCCTGCAGGGGGCGCCACAGTCTGAATGAGAGGGTCTTCGCCTGCAGGGGGCGCCACAGTCTGAATGAGAGGGTCTTCGCCTGCAGGGGGCGCCACAGTCTGAATGAGAGGGTCTTCGCCTGCAGGGGGCGCCACAGTCTGAATGAGAGGGTCTTCGCCTGCAGGGGGCGCCACAGTCTGAATGAGAGGGTCTTCGCCTGCAGGGGGCGCCACAGTCTGAATGAGAGGGTCTTCGCCTGCAGGGGGCGCCACAGTCTGAATGAGAGGGTCTTCGCCTGCAGGGGGCGCCACAGTCTGAATGAGAGGGTCTTCGCCTGCAGGGGGCGCCACAGTCTGAATGAGAGGGTCTTCGCCTGCAGGGGGCGCCACAGTCTGAATGAGAGGGTCTTCGCCTGCAGGGGGCGCCACAGTCTGAATGAGAGGGTCTTCGCCTGCAGGGGGCGCCACAGTCTGAATGAGAGGGTCTTCGCCTGCAGGGGGCGCCACAGTCTGAATGAGAGGGTCTTCGCCTGCAGGGGGCGCCACAGTCTGAATGAGAGGGTCTTCGCCTGCAGGGGGCGCCACAGTCTGAATGAGAGGATCTTCGCCTGCAGGGGGCGCCACAGTCTGAATGAGAGGGTCTTCACCTGCAGGGGGCGCCACAGTCTGAATGAGAGGGTCTTCACCTGCAGGGGGCGCCACAGTCTGAATGAGAGGGTCTCGCCTGCAGGGGGCGCCACAGTCTGAATGAGAGGGTCTTCGCCTGCAGGGGGCGCCACAGTCTGAATGAGAGGATCTTCGCCTGCAGGGGGCGCCACAGTCTGAATGAGAGGGTCTTCGCCTGCAGGGGGCGCCACAGTCTGAATGAGAGGGTCTTCGCCTGCAGGGGGCGCCACAGTCTGAATGAGAGGGTCTTCACCTGCAGGGGGCGCCACAGTCTGAATGAGAGGGTCTTCGCCTGCAGGGGACGCCACAGTCTGAATGAGAGGGTCTTCGCCTGCAGGGGGCGCCACAGTCTGAATGAGAGGGTCTTAGCCTGCAGGGGGCGCCACAGTCTGAATGAGAGGATCTTCGCCTGCAGGGGGCGCCACAGTCTGAATGAGAGGGTCTTCACCTGCAGGGGGCGCCACAGTCTGAATGAGAGGGTCTTCGCCTGCAGGGGGCGCCACAGTCTGAATGAGAGGGTCTTCGCCTGCAGGGGGCGCCACAGTCTGAATGAGAGGGTCTTCGCCTGCAGGGGGCGCCACAGTCTGAATGAGAGGATCTTCGCCTGCAGGGGGCGCCACAGTCTGAATGAGAGGGTCTTCGCCTGCAGGGGGCGCCACAGTCTGAATGAGAGGGTCTTCGCCTGCAGGGGGCGCCACAGTCTGAATGAGAGGGTCTTCGCCTGCAGGGGGCGCCACAGTCTGAATGAGAGGGTCTTCGCCTGCAGGGGGCGCCACAGTCTGAATGAGAGGGTCTTCGCCTGCAGGGGGCGCCACAGTCTGAATGAGAGGGTCTTCGCCTGCAGGGGGCGCCACAGTCTGAATGAGAGGATCTTCGCCTGCAGGGGGCGCCACAGTCTGAATGAGAGGGTCTTCGCCTGCAGGGGGCGCCACAGTCTGAATGAGAGGGTCTTCGCCTGCAGGGGGCGCCACAGTCTGAATGAGAGGGTCTTCGCCTGCAGGGGGCGCCACAGTCTGAATGAGAGGGTCTTCACCTGCAGGGGACGCCACAGTCTGAATGAGAGGGTCTTCGCCTGCAGGGGGCGCCACAGTCTGAATGAGGATCTTCACCTGCAGGGGGCGCCACAGTCTGAGATTAAACATCTCTGATCCCACTGTTAGTTTTAAACTCCTTCATGAATCCTTTTTTACTGATCCTGTTTCACACTAGGACTCCCAGAGCAGTCATTTTGACTTTTTGTTCAAATCAATGAATGGAATTAATAAGAAATAAAATGTTTAGTTTATCACCTGTTTTGTTAAAGTAAGTCATGTATGTAATCATTTTTTTATTTTAATCTTTTAAGTGCTAACTGATAGAACTAGAAATACAGCAAAAGTAACTGCTGCGAGGACACTCACCAACTCTGAACCAGAACCAGTCCAGGAGCAGAACAGGGCTTTACCTGCCATAAAATGTTGGTTGCCAATTTTACATTTCAAAAATAAAAGATCATTTCATGAAAAATAATGAGAGAAATAAACTATGAACAAACAGAAAACAACAAAGGTCGGTACAAAAGGTTAATGAGCTTCATTAACACTTCCAAGTCCAGAGCAGACGAAGTGACTGCTCTGGGTTCTCTCCGGGATCATCAGACTCTGATCAGAGCTTCTGTGATGTCAATAATGTCAATAAAGTAAATAAAGCATTAGGTCCCAGTGTCAGAGGCTTCAGGGCGGACTCTAAAGTCAGAGTTTACGTTAGAGCTTTAGTGTCTCTGAAGCTCCTGCTGCAGGAAGTGGTCTGTTGATGGTCTGTTGACTTTCACTTTTAAGAAAGTTCTTTACTCCAGACTCTGTTACTGACTTTTTACTATTAGCTATGAGGGAGCTGCAGTTGGCTGAATGACAAATCTCACCAGCTTTAGTAATGTCATATACAACATTTTGTGCCACAATAAAAAACATTAAACGCCTCTGTGTAAGGCTCAGATTCCAGAGGTTCTGATCCAAACACAGAGGGAGGAGATGCCTGTACTGGAGGAGCTGAAGATGGCTGTATGATACCGTGAGCTTGTGTTTATGTTCTCACAGAGACCCACAGAGGACCACAGAACCTGACAGAGAGGACCACAGAACCTGACACAGAGGACCACAGAACCCGACACAGAAGACCACAGAACCCGACACAGAGGACCACAGAACCTGACAGAGAGGACAACAGAACCTGACAGAGGACCACAGAACCTGACAGAGAGGACCACAGAACCTGACAGAGAGGACCACAGAACCTGACAGAGAGGACCACAGAACCTGACAGAGAGGACCACAGAACCTGACAAAGAGAACCACAGAACCTGACAGAGAGGACCACAGAACCCGACACAGACGACCACAGAACCCGACACAGAGGACCACAGAACCTGACAGAGGACCACAGAACCTGACACAGAGGACCACAGAACCTGACAGAGGACCACAGAACCTGACAGAGAGAACCACAGAACCCGACACAGAGGACCACAGAACCTGACGCAGAGGACCACAGAACCCGACACAGAGGACCACAGAACCTGACACAGAGGACCACAGAACCTGACACAGAAGACCACAGAACCCGACACAGAGGACCACAGAACTTGACACAGAGGACCACAGAACCCGACACAGAGGACCACAGAACCCGACACAGAAGACCACAGAACCCGACACAGAGGACCACAGAACCTGACACAGAGGACCACAGAACCCGACACAGAGGACCACAGAACCCGACACAGAGGACCACAGAACCCGACAGAGGACCACAGAACCCGACACAGAGGACCACAGAACCCGACAGAGGACCACAGAACCCGACACAGAGGACCACAGAACCCGACACAGAGGACCACAGAACCTGACACAGAGGACCACAGAACCTGACACAGAGGACCACAGAACCTGACACAGAGGACCACAGAACCTGACACAGAGGACCACAGAACCTGACAGAGGACCACAGAACCCGACACAGAGGACCACAGAACCTGACAGAGAGAACCACAGAACCCGACACAGAGGACCACAGAACCCGACAGAGGACCACAGAACCCAACACAGAGGACCACAGAACCCGACAGAGGACCACAGAACCCGACACAGAGGACCACAGAACCCGACACAGAGGACCACAGAACCTGACACAGAGGACCACAGAACCTGACACAGAGGACCACAGAACCTGACACAGAGGACCACAGAACCTGACACAGAGGACCACAGAACCTGACAGAGGACCACAGAACCCGACACAGAGGACCACAGAACCTGACAGAGAGAACCACAGAACCCGACACAGAGGACCACAGAACCCGACACAGAGGACCACAGACCCCGACACAGAGGACCACAGAACCCGACAGAGGACCACAGAACCCGACACAGAGGACCACAGAACCCGACAGAGGACCACAGAACCCAACACAGAGGACCACAGAACCCGACAGAGGACCACAGAACCCGACACAGAGGACCACAGAACCTGACACAGAGGACCACAGAACCTGACACAGAGGACCACAGAACCCGACACAGAGGACCACAGAACCCGACACAGAGGATCACAGAACCTGACAGAGAGGATCACAGAACCTGACAGAGAGGATCACAGAACCTGACAGAGAGGATCACAGAACCCGACCCGCGGGCCTGAGTTTGGACATGTTTGGGTTTAGAGGCTGAAAAAGTCCAAATGTGATGAAGAAAAAGTTATGAAATGTTTGTAAAGTAGAGTTTTAGAGTTTTTAAAGAACAACTTTTTTTCATCTTCTGTCGTTTTGGGTCAAACATGATTTTGAGAAAATGGACTTTTTAATGTTTTAAAACATGGAACAGAAAGTTTATCTGTAGTTTATTCGAGCACAGGCTACTTTGTGTCCAAATAAACAAGTGAACTTCTTTAGTAGAAAACATTTACAAACGAGATATTTAGCGCCACCTGCAGGTGAAATCCTGATCCTGTCTGCTCTCAGAAGCTAAGCAGAGCAGAGCCTGGTTAGAACTGTAATGGGAGACCAAGTGCCACAGTGAGAAGGCTGTGGCTGTAAAGTGCTAAAGTGTCCTTAGGCGAGAAACCACTTTGAGAGAGAGAGCGATGGATGGTCTGAGGCGGCGATGACACAGACTAGTAGCCTCTCTTCTGCCAGTCTGCCCCAGGGCACCGGCGGCATCAATAGTCCATCACCACCGTGTGACAAATGGTACTACATGAAGAGTATTTGAGTGTTCAGAAAAGTGCTAACAAAGTACTAAGCATTATTAACACTGACCTCTACTGGTAAAGTGGAACATCACATTCTGCTGTAGCTAAATCCAACATGGCGTGGTCTAATGAAGGCATAAACATTTACTGGAGACGTTTCCTGATTTGGAGGCGATACTTTAGTTTTAAAAAGCAGAAGACGTCGATGACATCATAGCGTGAAGCCTTGTCATGGGATAACTAGTTTGAGACGTGAGCGTTTGGGCAGAAGGGGCGGGGGGACGTGTTTGACCACATTAATGCCGGACAAAAGATGAAATGTGTCTTCGGGAAAAGTCGGACTCGAAGCATCGGGGGAAAGTCTAAAATGTGAATAATAAAACAGAGCGTTCTACGTCGGGGCCGAGACATGAACCTTTTACAGAATCCAAATATGGACTGTTTCCTGTGACTCAGTGATAAATATACAAACATCCTGCTGCCATGGCAACGGATAAGACTGAAGAATAACCCTGATTTTGGTGAAAGTGAAGAAGCAGTTTGTGACTAAAAGTAGACTCTGACCTCTTTTTCCATTTGTCGAGATTATTACAAAGCATTAAATACAAAAGTGTAGCACAAACTATATATGTATACAACCAATGTATTATTATTATTGTTATTATTATTAACACTAAAAAGTGAAGGTACAGTCCTTCAGTTCATGAGTAGAAGCCTGTCTCACATTATCAGGAAGACTGTTCCAGATTTTAGCCGGTTTAGTCCTGACTCTTAGCAAAAGAAAATACTAGAAAGTCAAAAATCTATGAAGACATTAAACCATTTTACGTCTCATTTTCTATTCCATGTTCCACGTATGAGACTGCTCCAGCTCCGTCTCTGAACATAACTTTAACTTTAGGGAAAACTAGTCAAGATTAAAGCTCAAATTATAAATCCTAAACATTAAGTGATTGTGCAGTGTAAGTAAGTAATGTTTATTTATAGAGCGCAAGTTACAGTCACATGTTACAGTCACATACATGTTACAGTCACATGTCAGTCACATACATGTTACAGTCACATGTCAGTCACATACATGTTACAGTCACACACATGTTACGGTCACATGTTACAGTCACATGTTACAGTCACATGTTACAGTCACATGTTACAGTCACACACATGTTACAGTCACATACATGTTACAGTCACATGTTACAGTCACACACATGTTACAGTCACATGTTACAGTCACATGTTACAGTCACACACATGTTACGGTCACATGTTACAGTCACATGTTACAGTCACATGTTACAGTCACACACATGTTACAGTCACATGTTACAGTCACATGTTACAGTCCCACACATGTTACAGTCACATGTTACAGTCACATGTTACAGTCACATGTTACAGTCACACACATGTTACAGTCACATGTTACAGTCACACACATGTTACAGTCACATGTTACAGTCACATGTTACAGTCACATGTTACAGTCACATACATGTTACAGTCACACACATGTTACAGTCACACACATGTTACAGTCACATGTTACAGTCACATACATGTTACAGTCACACACATGTTACAGTCACACACATGTTACAGTCACATGTTACAGTCACATGTTACAGTCACATGTTACAGTCACACACATGTTACAGTCACATGTTACAGTCACATGTTACAGTCACATGTTACAATCACATGTTACAGTCACATGTTACAGTTACATACATGTTACAGTCACACACATGTTACAGTCACATACATGTCACATGTTACAGTCACACACATGTTACAGTCACATACATGTTACAGTCACACACATGTTACAGTCACATGTTACAGTCATATACATGTTACAGTCACATGTTACAGTCACATGTTACAGTCACACACATGTTACAGTCACATGTTACAGTCACACACATGTTACAGTCACACACATGTTACAGTCACATGTTACAGTCACACGTTACAGTCACACACATGTTACAGTCACACACATGTTACAGTCACATGTTATAGTCATATACATGTTACAGTCACATGTTACAGTCACATGTTACAGTCACATGTTACAGTCACACATGTTACAGTCACATGTTACAGTCACATGTTACAGTCACACATGTTACAGTCACATGTTACAGTCACACACATGTTACAGTCACATGTTACAGTCACATGTTACAGTCACATGTTACAGTCACATGTTACAGTCACATGTTACAATCACATGTTACAGTCACACACGTTACAGTCACATGTTACAGTCACACGTTAGTCACACACATGTTACAGTCACATGTTACAGTCACACACATGTTACAGTCACATGTTACAGTCACACACATGTTACAGTCACATACATGTTACAGTCACATACATGTTACAGTCACATGTTACAGTCACACACATGTTACAGTCACATGTTACAGTCACACACATGTTACAGTCACATGTTACAATCACATGTTACAGTCACACACATGTTACAGTCACATGTTACAGTCACACACATGTTACAGTCACATGTTACAGTCACATGTTACAGTCACACACATGTTACAGTCACATGTTACAGTCACATGTTACAGTCACATACATGTTACAGTCACACACATGTTACAGTCACATGTTACAGTCACATGTTACAGTCACATGTTACAGTCACACACATGTTACAGTCACATGTTACAATCACATGTTACAGTCACACACATGTTACAGTCACATGTTACAGTCACACATGTTACAGTCACATGTTACAGTCCCACGTTACAGTCACACACATGTTACAATCACATGTTACAGTCACACACATGTTACAGTCACATGTTACAGTCACACGTTAGTCACACACATGTTACAGTCACATGTTACAGTCACACACATGTTACAGTCACACACATGTTACAGTCACATGTTACAGTCACATGTTACAGTCACACACATGTTACAGTCACATGTTACAGTCACACATGTTACAGTCACATGTTACAGTCACACACATGTTACAGTCACATGTTACAGTCACACACATGTTACAGTCACATGTTACAGTCACACACATGTTACAGACATGTGACTTCCTGTATCCGGTGAGCGTGTTTCTTGACTGCTATCACTCTGCTCTCTGCTCTAACAAACACATTACAAATCCACGTATTGTACACCAAGCTAACTGTGTAAGCACTCCGAGTCAGCTGTACTGCAGCTGAGGTTTAGGTAGCGGTTGTTTGTCTGGTCTCGGAGTCTGTTGTGCGGGCCCGGATCCGTACTAGCTTAGCCTAGCCTAGCTTAGCCTAGCCTAGCCGCTAACTCGCTACTATGGCGGCTGCTGTCTCTCCCTCAATCCTTTACTGCTCGAGTTGCCATATGGCGAGTCTAAACCCTGGATCCTTCTCTGAGGGTAGTGATAGATGTGTGAAGTGTAGTGTAGTCGTAGCTCTGGAATCCAGGGTCAGTGAGTTAGAGCTGCGTCTCCGAGCACTGGAGTCTCGAGCTAGCGCTAGCATTAGCTACAGCCAGGCCGTATCCTCAGGGACAGCGGAGCGCAGCTTTAGGGAAAGGCAGAGGAGAACTAGCGAGCCTAGCCTCCCAGCCCGTCCTCCGCAGCTGGGACAAGACCAGGATAGTGATGGCTTTGTGACTGTTCGGAGAGGGCCACGTGTTGTTGGTAGTTTCCCCATTGGGCCTCCTCCTGTTAGCATTTACAATCGCTGGGACGCTCTGTCCGGCTGCGCCCCCGCGCGGCCGGGCGGGGAAGAAGGCCCCACTGAGAGAGCCACTGAGAGAGCCACTGAGAGAGCCACTGAGAGAGCCACTGAGAGAGCCGCTGAGAGAGCCGCTGAGAGAGCCGCTGAGAGAGTCGCTGAGAGAGCCGCTGAGAGAGCTGCTGAGAGAGCCGATGGAGTCGCTGATGCGCTGGTAATTGGCTCCTCTATTGTTAGAGGTGTTAAGATCCCAGGAGCCACTGTTCGGTGCTTCCCTGGGGCCAGGCTTGGTGATATTGAAGGGAATCTGAGGCTCATGATGACCCACAAGCAGCGTTTCCGTCGAATTGTTATTCACGCGGGTGGTAATGACGTTCGGCGGAAACAGTCCGAGGTGTTGAAGCTGCAAGTCGCCGCCGTGTGCAAGCTGGCTAACACAATGGCCGACACTGTCATCTTCTCTGGGCCCCTACCTAGCACTAGCAGTGCAGAAGCATTCAGCAGACACTCGGCTTTCAACCGCTGGCTGTCTGGCTGGTGCCCTCCAAGTGGTGTTGTTCATGTTGACAATTGGAGTGCCTTTTGGGGAAAGCCCGGTCTCATCCGCTCGGATGATATCCACCCAACGTTGGCGGGTACATCCCTTTTGGCTAAGAATTTGGCCCTGGCTCTAAACTGTTCTGCTCGGCTCAAATGACGGTGCAGAACTGAGGCCCGGGTGCAGAGCTGCTCTGCCACAACCTCTGAGCCCCCATCTGTTCAGTTACTAGCCTCAGAGGCTAGTCAGACTGAAACTGTGTGTGCATGTGTGTGTGTGCCTGTGTGTGCTCAGTTACTAGCCTCAGAACCTAGTCAGATTGAAACTGTGTGTGTTCCCCGCTTGAAGTCTAAAGCACTATATGCGAGGAAATCTGACCTAGGTGTCAGACACAGTAACTTAATAAAAGTTCAGACAGAAATAGTTCTAACAGTAGGGTTGTTAAATGTGGTTTAATGAACGTCAGATCAATCTCGTCTAAATCGCTTCTCATAAACGAACTTATTATAGAAAAGGGCTTGGATCTGTTTGCGCTCTCGGAGACTTGGCTCCAACAGGACGACTACGTTAGATTGAATGAGTGCACTCCTCCGACGCATGTTAACTACCAGAAAGCCAGAGCTACAGGTCGCGGCGGTGGTGTTGCGATTATATCACACACCAACTTGGTTCTTAGTCCCAAAACCAACAACGCTTTTCACTCGTTTGAAAACTTAACACTTTCAATCACCTGTCCTGGGTGGAGAAAACAAAAAGCAGTACTATTTATAGTTTTATACCGACCTCCTGGTCCTTACAGCGAGTTCCTAACAGAATTCTCTGACTTCATTTCAAACCTAGTTTTGGAATGGGAAAACATAGTTATAGCTGGAGACTTCAATATACATGTGGACGACAGCACTGACAGCTTAAACAAAGCTTTCAGCGCCGTACTAGATGGTGTTGGTTTTACTCAGAATGTCGAGGAACCTACTCACATTCATAACCACACCTTGGACCTTGTCCTGACCTACGGCTGTGATGTCTCCAATGTTGACATCCAGCGTCAAAGCTCGTTGCTGTCTGACCATTTCTTGATCACGTTTGATCTCGCTTTGGAGGACTTTCCTGTCCCGCAAGATAAAACCATAATGAAAAGAACCTTAAATGATAAATCTATCACAAGGTTCAAAGAACTAATACAGCCTATGTTGAATACTGCTGCAGGTGAACCTGTTCACAGCAGCTGCAGTCCCTCAGTCATCGACCAAACGGTGGGCAACACTATGGAGTCTTTAAAATCTGCATTAAATGCAGCAGCTCCTTTAAAACAGAAAACTATT